GTCCTAGTATGGGCACACACACACAATAGTTACAGGCAGAGGGGGCTGGGAAGGTGGCTCAGTGGTAGAGCACTTGCCTTGCATGCTTGAGGCCCTGGGTTCGATTCCTCAGCACCACATAAGCAAAAAGAAAAAGGCAGGAAGTGGCGCTGTGGCTCAAGTGGTAGAGCGCTAGCCTTAAGCTGAAGAGCTGAGGGACAGCACCCAGGCCCAGAGTTCAGACCCTATGACCGGACCAAAAAAAAAAAATAGTTACAGGCAGTGAACAGACACACATCCTCCTCCACTTACAATGGGGCCCCTTCTAGAAAATCCAGGCGCTGGCAACTCATGCCTGTAATCCTAGCTACTCAGGAGGCTGAGATCTGAGGATCGCAGTTTAAAGCCAGCGCAAGAAGGAAAATCCATGAGACTCTTATCTCCAATGAACCACCAGAAAACCGGAAGTGGTGCTGTGGCTCAAAGTACTAAGGTGCTAGCCTTGAATGAAAAAGCCCAACAATTGCACTCAGACCCTGAGTTCAAGACCAATGATGGACAAAAAGAAAAAGAAAGAAGAGAATCCGGTGGTGCACTGAAAACACCTGCAGACAGAAATGCACTGAATCTGGGCTGGGAAGGTGGCTCAGTGGTAGAGCGCTTGCCTTGCATGCATGAGGCCCTGGGTTCGATTCCTCAGGAACACATAAGCAAAAAAGAAAAAAGCCAGAAGTGGCGCTGTGGCTCAAGTGGTAGAGCGCTAGCCTTGAGCTGAAGAGCTGAGGGACAGCGCCCAGGCCCAGAGTTCAGGCCCCACGACCGGACCCCTCCCAAAAAAGAAAAGAAGAAATGCACTGAACCTTTCAGAAGGAGGACATAAATGTAAAAGCAGCGTTAAATGTCCCCATGCCCAGCGGCTGCTGGGCCTCGGCTGGCCAGGCTGGCTGAGGAGCTCAGGCCTGCTGCCGCCCGCTGCTCCAGCAACAGAGACCAAAAAATGCTTTCTCCTGAACCCTGTCTTCATCCATGGCCAAGCTAATAAGGCAGGGGCCTGTCTAGCATGAAACATGCTGAGCTGTGGATTTCAGCACGATAGAAAGGAAAGAAGCAGTTTCTAGAAGCCCTGCATTAATAAATGACACCCAAATGAAGGAATTGGCGTGGGACATGAGGCCCGGGGGGGGGGGGGGGGGGGCTCCTTACAGAAAGGACAGAGCTGGGCCTCTGCTTCCCCACTTTCCCCAGAAGCCCCTGAGTCTCAGGTCAGTATGCACTGGCCAGCTCTCTGCCAATGAGAGATAAGAATCCAGTTTTCTCATCAATGAAGTGGGATGATACACTACAAATCCGTGTGTGTGCCCGTGCGCGTGCACGTATGCACGCATAAGTGCTCACAAGCAACACCAGTACTGAGTCTTGTACTCAAGGCCTGGGTGCTGTCCCGAGCTTTTTCACTCAAGGCTGGTGCTCTACCACTTGAGCCACATTTCCACTTCTAGTCCTTTGTTGGTTAATCAGGGATGATAGTCTCATAGACTTTCCTGCCCAAGCTGGCTTTCAACCACATTCCTCAGCTCTCAGCCTCCAGAGAAGCTGGGATTACAGGTGTGAGCACCAAGGCCTGGTTCTCCAGCCTTCTTTATGAATGCTGAAGCCAGGGGCTGGGAAGGTGGCTCAGTGGTAGAGTGCTTGCCTCGAATGCATGAGTACCACATAAGCAAGAAAAAGCCAGATGTGGTGCTGTGGCTAAGTGGTAGAGCGCCAGCCTTGAGCTGAAGATCTGAGGGACAGCGCCCAGGCCCAGAGTTCAGGCCCCAGGACCAACCCTTCCCCTCCAAAATATACTGAAGCCAGTATGGCTGAAAGATATGCTGAGATACATTTCTCAGAAAATCCCTGCTCAGAATAGGCATAGAAAAGTTTCTTTTGTTTCATTTTCCCCTCAGTGTCTTAAAGATCTTTCTTTTCTTTTTTTTTTTTGGTCCAGTCGTGGGGCCTGAACTCTGGGCCTGGGCGCTGTCCCTCAGCTCTTCAGCTCAAGGTTAGTGCTCTACCACTTGAGCCACAGCGCCACTTCCGGCTTTTTTCTTTTTGCTTATGTGGTGCTGAGGAATCGAACCCAGGGCCTTGAGCATGCAAGGCAAGCGCTCTACCACTGAGCTACCTTCCCAGCCCAAGATCTTTATTTTCTTTAAACATTATTATTAATGAGTAGTTGTACAAATTCCATAAGTCAGGATCTGAGTATACACTACTTCTTACTCAAAATCTTCCTGCTTCGCCCTCTGGAAGCTAGGATGTCCAGCAGGCTACCACACTGGCATGGAGCCAACCTAGCAAAAGACATTACCTGTAAAAGGCTTAGCGACAGCCTTTACTCTGAGAACACACATATTTTTTCCTAAACCTGGCCCCACCCAGACTGGTTGTAAATCAGGAGGTAATAACTTTTCTTCAGGACCTGCCCCTAGAATCCCGCCTGGCTCCTGATAGCTGGGGATTACAGGCAGGCACCACCACACCCAGCCTGTGACCTTTCTTGTTATTGTTTTTTTTTTGAAATGTCATTCATAAGAGCTTGTCAGGTGAGGGAAACTCCTCAAGGTCTCGTGGAATGATTGCACAAAACAGGAGAACTTTTTGTTTCTGGGACATTTTCGAATGAACACTGGTTTACTCTCCCCCAATTTTTCTTATCTCTATATCTCGTCTATATTCAGTCATCAAGGAGAGACAGGTGTTGGAATATGATACAGAAACTCGCCCTGCCAATCCCTAACACAGTTTCTTTGGGACTTGGACTCAGTTTCTTTAGTGTCAAAATGAAAAACAAAAACAAAACAACAACAACAACATAACGCTGGTCAATCTCCTGAGAACAAAAACAGCACGATATACATTTTATACATTTCGTGCTGTCGGTGCTGCTTACATACCCCGGACACATCAAGTATTTATTTATTCATTTGGATATTTCAGACAGGATCTTGCTATCTAGCTCAGGTTGGCCTCAACTGGAGATCCCCCCCCCTCCCAGAAATGACTATCACTTGGAGATTCAAGTGATCCAGCACCTTGTTGTAAGGGCAGACATGGCTGAAAGGTTTTAACTACCACCTGCCCAAGTAAGTAAACATAGCAATTCTGCTAAGTGAAGCTTTCCTTAGGCAACTAGTATGCTCTGTGCTGTAAACCTAGCATATAGACATTTAGATTTATTTAAGAAGCCTCTTATACCAAAAAGGTGTTGGGAATGTGAAGATTGGTCAGCCCAAGCAGGGGCTAATTGGCTTTTTAATTCCATCTCAGGGTTCTAAACTGCTTCCATGCCTCATGGAACTCTTCCCTTCCCCTTTCCCTGTGGAACCGTGGGTCTATCTTCCCCTTCCCCTGTGGAGCCGTGAGTTATCTTACTGGCTTCCGACAACATCCACAAGAGTTTTTTGCAAACAGTGGTTCAAAAGCCCAGAAGTCAAGAAGTTCTTCTCGTTAGCTCTCAATATCCCAAACATGATGAAGCTGGGTTATTTTTCTCCAGTGGAGGGCTGTCCAAACACCCCAGGTGAACACACTGAGGAGACCAGCATCCAATTTTGCTTTTCCTTCCTGATGAGGGCTCAGGCTCAGGCAACTCTGACAAGCCAGGGACTTAGCCAATGAGTAATCAAGAAAAGGCAAGGCGAAAAAATGTGGAGGAAAGATTGAGATTTGCGCAGTCCCTTGCAATGAAGGGAAATGTGTGTGTGGAGGGGGGGGTGGGGGTGGAGAAAGGCCCCGACCTTTGGAAACGCCAAGCAAAGACCGAGAAAGCGGGAAGCCAGTTTATTGAGCATTTGCTTTGTGCCAGGTTGTTAGCTGAATTAAATTTATAGAATTCCTATGCTGGTCCCAGGAGATTGTAGAAACAAACATACAGATTCCCCACCCTCCCCCCCCCCCCCCCCCCGTCGGGATGATTGGACTATTTTGAACTATACATCCTTTTCTGTAACAAAGTCTATCTTGCAAAACAAACACCAAATGTCAGCAGATGCTGGAAAACACGCAGTTGCCCGGACCGCGGGGAGCGCGGCTCCTCGGGAGCGCGGGCACCGTGGGAGTCCGCGGTGGTGTCCCCGGCTCCCCGGCTCCCGGGGGGCGAGGCGGGGGCGGGGAAGCCAGCCGCCTGGGGTTTTGATAGTATCTCTGACTACCTTCCCCTGGAATCTGCTTCTCCATGTTTACTTTGGGAGCCAGTTATTTCCAAGTGTAAAGAAGGAAAAGAAAAAAATCGAAGTTCGCTGGGAAACGGCAGATCGGCTCCGGCGGGTCTCCACGTCGAGGGGGCCGGGGTCCCCCATTTCACCGGGAGGTGGGCTCTGGATGGAGACTCCGGTGGAGGGGATGCGCCGGGCCCCCCATCGTTTTCGGTAGCCTGGAAAGGGGGGGGTCTCCGTTTGAAACATTCCAGTCAGGAGGAGACAGTTCATCTAAGGGTTCTTGTTGGTTTCAGAAGTTCAAAACAAAAACAACTCCCCAACCCCCCCCCCCCCCCAGCCGCAGTGCCACCGCGCGCTCAGCTGGTGGCTGTTAACGTCACGACCACAAAAGGCGATTTTGGGGAGCGCACGCCCGAGCCCGCCCCGGCCCCCAACTTTGAAGGACGCCCCCACGCCCTCTTTTTTTGGGTGTGTGATCTCCCCCCCCCCACCCCGCCCCGGGGGTTCGCCGCGCCGCAGCCAATCTGCGCCCGGATGCTAATGGGCCGCGGAACACGCCTGGGTCGCGTGGAGGGTCGGACTACAAGGCCCAGCATGCCCCGTCCCTCCCTGATCAATGAGGGCTTATTCAAATGATCTCTGAGGTCTTGGACCCAGGCCAATCAGCTGTCAGGGCTCATGATAAATCGCAATGCATTATTGATAATAATAATTACCGGGACATGCGCGTTCCGGCCCGAGGGGGGTAAATTTCCCGACTCCGGGAATTGGCGGCGGAGAGGGCGAGTTTGCGCGGCGCTCCGGCCCCCCGATGCGCGCACCATGTCGAGGCGCAAGCAGGCGAAGCCGCAACACATCCACTCGGACGAGGGCCGGGACGAGCAGCCTCCGCCGCCGGCCGCGGAGCCCGCAGGGGCGGCGCCGGCGCCCGGGGAGCCCGGTGAGTGCAGCCTGGGGCGCGCGGGGCGCTCGCGGGGACCCCCCGGGGGGCGCAGCCTCCCGGGCGGCCCGGGTGCCCGGGGTTGGGGGAGCCGGGGACTCGGTTCCGGGGCAGCGGGGCGACCTCCTCACGCCCCCGTGCCCCCCGCCCCGGGTCCGGGCGGATTTTCCACGTTCTCTTTTCCCGCCTGCGTAAGTTTCCCCCCCACTCTCGCATTGTAAAGTTGGCCCCGCGCGCGCTCGCGCGCTCCCCTCGGGTTCCTCCACTCTGTGCTCGATCCCGCGCTCCTCTCCCGCACCCCCGGGGCCCCCCTCCCTCCCTGGCGCCGCTTTTTAAAGAGCAAGACTCCCCCCCTCCCCCGAAGGTCCCCGCCACCCTCTCCACCGGCCTTGGGGGCTTTGTGGGAGGCTGGAGGAGGGGCGCGCCCCGGCCCCCCCCCCCGGGGCGATCGGCCGCCCTCGCCCCTCCCAGGCCCTGTGGGGGAGGGGGCGCGACCTCTCCCCACCCCCCGGGGCTCGGCGCGGCCCCCCGGGGGCGGCGGCGGCGGCGGGGGGGCTCGCTCAGCCCGCTCGGCTCGCCTCTCCCGGGTTGGCTTCCCCCCCCCCCCCCCGGGTGATGCCGCCCGCCGATCTTCGCCCTAACCTTTCGGGGCCTGACCTCCAGCCATCTTTGATTTCCGACTTCCTAAAAATAGCCGCGGCGCGCCCGGGGGTGCGGGCTCCGGGGTGGCGGGGCGCGCCGCCGGCTCGCGGGGTCCGCGCGCCCCGGGCTCGCTGGGCAGGGCTCCCGGCGGGGGGCGGGGGCTCCCCCCTCCTTGGCTGCCGCACACGCGCGCCCGGGGAGGTGAAAGGGGAGAGGTCGGGCCGGGGCTGCGCGGTCGCGGCCAGGGCGAGCTCCCCGGGGCTGACCCGGCCCACGAAAGTTCGGGGATCCCCCCCACCTCCCCTAACGCCGCGGGGGTTCGGGTCCCTTCCTGTCCCCGCCTCGCCCCGCAGGGCCTGGCGCGAGCCCGCGGGCGCTACCCCCCAACCCCCCCCCCCCCGCCCGCCCGCCAAATCGTCGCCGGATCGATTGGGAGCGCACGCGGGGGGAGGGGGCTTCCCCTCTGCTCCTTAATTTCCCTGCCGCGGATGGCCGGCGTCCCGGACGCCCCTGACCCAAAAACATCGGACGCCCCAGTTTCCCGGGGGCACGGTGGCTACTTTGGAGGCTTCGATGAGGGGGTGTAGTTTTCCGAGCGGATCGCGGTTCAGTGAGGTCTCCACGCGCGCCCTTCCGAGGAAGTTCGTCCCGGAGCCGAGGACGCATCCCGGCCCGGCCGAAAGGGGGAGTGTGGCTTGGGGCTTTTGTTTGGTTTTGGAGGGGCATCGCCTGGTGAGGGCCGGGCGCGTCCGGTCCCCGCCGCCGGGTGGATGGGCGCTCTTTGTGCCCGGGCCGGGGGCCCGGGCGGGCTTGGAGAGGCCCACCTGGAACAAAAGGGTTAACCCGCGGCCCGCCCGCTTCCTCCGGAGGGGCGGGGCGGGCTCGTGGCCCTGACCCCTCCCCGGCCCGGCGCTGGCCTCCCCTTCCCCCCTCGTTTTGGGTGGGCGCACACCAGTGAGGTTGGGCACGGCGGTTGGCACTTCGGGGGGAGCTTGTTAGAGAGGACTTGCAACATCCACGCCGCCGGAGTTGGCGTTAGTCCGGGCCGCGCGCCCCGCTCCGCTCCCACCGTGATTTGGGAGGGGAGTTGGCCCTGGATCCCAGGGCTGGGCGCGCGGCGGAGCCGCAGGGTTGCGCGCGGGCGCCCCCCGGAAGCGCAGGGCGCGGGCCGGCACCTGGAGAGTGGGGCGGGCTGGACCTAGTCCCCCCCCCACCCGGCGCACCCCCAAGATTTCCGCTCGTTACCGGCCCCGTATTCTTTGCCCGATCGTTCGAGTCCTTAGCGCACCCCCTCCCCCCGACTCCGTTCCAGGGATGCGTTTGCACGGCGCCCTCAATCGCAACGCAGGACTGGAGGTGCTTCTCCCGAGCCGGGCTGTGTATTTGGGTGTCGGCATTTGATCGGCCTTCCATGTCAGTGGTCGGAACAACTTTAAAAGCCGAGGTTGCGCTCGCTTTGTTGAATGCACGGCTTATGTATGAACTTATTTGGTTGTATGAAAATGAAATGGGCGCCATAATTAGATGAAAAAACAACCCTTCAGGTGGTCTGGGAGATTAACGCCCAAAGGGAAATTGGTATTTTCTCAAGAACAGTTTCAAATGCCCTTTGTGCTAAACTAGATAACTAAGATTAAGACTTCCAGATTTCCAGTAAACTCTCTTGCTGGTATCTAGTCGGAAATGACCCGCCTGCCCATAGCGTTTCGGGCACCAAGAGTCTCAGTTCCCAATTTGGGCACTGCCCCCTCCCCCCTTTTAAAAATGGATTAAAGATGCATTTCCTGCGTGGAAAAGGCGCCACACTCCAGCCAGGTAAATGGTACTCGGTTGTGGAAGCTTCTGGTAGGTGGGGGCTGGAGCGAGGGGGCTGGGGAACCATTTTGGGAAGGCGAGATGAGATGATCATTGAAGTCTAATATGAGTTTGAGCTGGGTAACTTTGAAGCCAGGAAGTCCTTTGAACATTGTAACACTAGTTAAAATGATTTCAACTACAAAAGGTCCACGGGTGTTGGGTAGGTGGTCGTTAAATCTGTTCAAAAGTAACAATGTTACTCCTGTCAAGATAAGTGTTTGTTGAACTGTTGATTGAAAGAATTCTGTAGAAACATTAAGGTCTGCCCCCCCCCCCCCAAAGCATCTCCGGGTGCTTTGGCTTTAATTCTCAGAGTAGCTGGTGTTTTGATTTATTTAGAGTAAAAGTTGGAATAACTCTTCCCCCCCCACCCCCATCCCAGAGTGGGGTGGGGGTGGGGGCTGTGGTTTTGCTGGTTTTCCTTGTTTCCAAGATGAGGAAGCCATGGTTAGTGTTTGGGGTTGTGAGATGTCTCCACTCTTAAGTTTTCAGATGTTTCAAGCTGTAGCTTCACAAGTTCTGGAGCCTCAGTGCCAGCCACGTCTTCATGGCTGCTCAACACCCCCCCCCCCCCTTTTCTCTCCCCATCCGTGTGGGGCTTTGTTCCCTGGTGTCTGTAAGAGCGGGGGTGGGGGACAACTCCTGCCCTCATGGAGTTTGTAGATTTGCTTGAAAGACAGTGGAGGCTAGAGGGAACCTTCTAGAACCTTGACACAAACTCCCTGGCCTTATTTGACTTTTACACTCTTTCAAAAATCTTTAGGGTAGGGCCCCCTGAACTTTGATCAAACACTGTTTGAAACTTTTTTTTTCCCTGAAGATCTTAATTAGGTAGAAAGTTCTTTCTCAATCTAGTTAGCCATCTACAAGATGAGTTAAAGGCTAGGTTCTTCAGTGATATTAAACTGTTGTTTAGGAAAACCACTTTCAACTGGTTTAATTCTCCGGGGGCATTTTTTAAAAAGTATTTTTCCTGGGGGTGGGGAGAGGAGACCGGACTGCCCAAGATAATCTGCTCACTGTCAATTCTTTTAATATAGGAATCACAAAAGATAAGCCTGAGTCATAATGCTTTTATCAAGATATACAGGCTTTTATTTTTCTAAGCAGTTTCTGTGTCTCAAGAATTTGATTGGCCTCTAGATTAACTTTCTTCCCATACAATAGTAGGAGTTATTTTCTCTCCATTTGGCCCGGATTGAATCCTAGACCCCTGCTGGGTTTACTGCTTACTTCCCACTTAGTGGGTAACTGGATGTGGAGAGATAACCTTCCTAAAATTGGGCGTGGGGGTGGGGTGGAGGGGGGGGGATGGGAGGAGGACTTCAGGGTAATCCCTCTGAACTTTGCTTTTCTTCCTTTCGGGTTAATTTAAGCATGCCCAGCAATTGTTCCTTTCGGAGCCCTCTTTAGGGCCTGGGCAAATACGCTCCCCATGTTTGTCCGTGGAGAGGTGGTGGTAGCAGTACATTTTACTGCAAGAGCAAACAGAGCTGCTGCTGTTTTAAGACCCCAGTGGATGTTACTGGTGCTGGCTTGGCCGCTGCGGGGCGGGGGTTGTCTGTGTGGACACTGCAAGTAGCTGGCATTTCAGCTGTAAATCACTGGGAACTGGTGGATCCTTCTAGGAGAGGAGTTATTTAACCTTTCTTCTGCCAAGGATAGAACCATACTAAAGAGTGTTGAGAATCCATTGAGTACCAGGGCCTGGAATAATAGATGGAAACAAAACCTACAGAAGTGAGGCACCATGGCACAAGCATGCCTATAATCCCAGCTCCTCAGGAGGTCGAGATCTAAAGATCGTGGGTTGAACCCAGGGTGGGCAGGAAAGTCTTCTCTAGTTAACCACCAAAAAGCCACAAGTGAAGTTGTGGTAGAGTAGAACTCAATTGGTAGAGTGGAAAAAAGACTCAGAGCCAGGCGCTGGGTGGCTCACGCCTGTAATCATAGCTCCTCAGGAGGCTGAGATCTGAGGATGGAGGTTCAAAGCCAGCCCTGGCAAAAAGTTCCATGAGACTTATCTCCAGTGAACCAGCAGAAAACTGGAAGTGGTGCTGTGGCCCAAAGTGGTAGAGCGCTAGCCTTGAGCAAAAGAGCTCAGGGACAGCGCCCAGGCTGTGAGTTTAAGCCCCATGCCTCTCCCCCCCCCCCCCCCCGCCCCAAAAATAAAAGGCTCAGGCCCTGAGTTCAAGCCCTACTGACTAGCATACACAGAAAAGAAAACACAATTTCAACCAATCTTGCATCGAAAATGCCTCAAAGTGTGCATCATAGCCTGAGTGTACAGACTCTGGCCCTCACTCCCTCATTTACATGGAAATACATTGTCTAGGGTATGCTGAGTCACTTAGAGATTCAGGTATGCTGGGCATGTGCTAATTTCAAGCAGTGCTCTGCTTTTGTTTTAGTGCTGGTAGGGGCTGGCCGAGGCTTGTTCCACTTTAGGCCAAGGTTCTAGTCCCAGGTCCACGACTGGCATGTTGAGGCTCATGGAGTTTTCTGCCATGCTTGGCTTCCAACCATAATCTTCAAATCTCAACCTTCTGACTAGCTAGGATTACAAACAAGCCAAGTGGGTTTGGTATCTACTGGGTGGCCTGGAACCAAGGCCACACCTCCAAAATACAGAGATAAGCCGGGGAGGATTAACCTGTGTTTGAGTCATGTAATAAAAAAGGTCTAGTCAGGGGCTGGGAAGGTGGCTCAGTGGTAGAGTGCTTGCCTTGCATGCATGAGGCCCTGGGTTCGATTCCTCAGCACCACATAAGCAGAAAAAAGCCAGAAGTGGTGCTGTGGCTCAAGTGGTAGAGTGCTAGCCTTGAGCTGAAGAGCTGAGGGACAGCACCCAGGCCCAGAGTTCAAGGCCCATGACTGGCAAAACAAAAAAAAAAAAAAAAAAAAAAAGGTCTAGTCAGATGCTAGTGGCTCATGCCTGTGATCCTAGCTATTCAAGAGGTTGAGGTCTGAGGATCTTAGTTTGTAGTTCAAATCCACCCTGGGCAGGAAGGAGACTCTTTTCTCCAATTAACCACCAGAAGATGGAGCTGTAGCTCAAAGCGGGCAGAGCTCTAGCCTTGAGCAAAAGTGCTCTCAGGCTGAGTTCAAGCCCCACAACTGACAAATTGAAAAAAGTCTAGCATCCTCCTGTCCCCTGACCCCAGCAGGTTGAGGATAGGCAGCTATAGCTGGGATTTAAGTCAGACCCAGGTTCTGTCCCTACCACTGTCGTAATGGAAGAAATATTGTTTGTTGTGTCATTGGTCATGGGGCTTGAACTCTGGACCTGGGCACTGTCCCTGAGCTCTTCAGCTGGAGGCAAGCATTCTACCACTTGCACCACAGTACAACTTTCGGTTTTCTGATGGTTCATTGGAGATAAGAGTCTCATGGACTTTCCTGTCCAGGCTGGCTTTGAACCTGAGATCTTCAGATTGCAGCCTTCTGAGTAGGTAAGATGACAGGCATGGGCCAAAAAGAAAAATACTTTTTTTTAAAGCTTTTGCCAAAGGATCTATTCCAATACATCAGGATAAGAGGAGTAGAAACCAGAGGAGAGAAAGGAAAGACACCTCCTGCTAGAAGTATTGGGGGTAGCGGGAAGTCTTTCGCTGGTATCTCTGAGGTCAGGGGACTAGGTTGGTTTCTCCTTGGCTGTGGAGCCTCATCGCCTGCCCATTGCTTGCCTGGCTGGATACTCTCTATCTCTGGCTTCACTTCTCCATTGTGATACTTTGTAAGCCTGGGTTTGCCAGCTCTGCCTAATCGCATTTGCAAAGCTCCTATCCATAAAGGTCACCTGGTTGGAACTTGCCTCCTCTCCCCAGGGGATGCAATTCCAATTCCTGTGCTGGGTTACTTGATTTCCCTCCCACTCTCCCACTGCACCAGAGCTGTTCTGTCTCTCCCTTGGTCGTGGGGCTTAAACTCTGGGCCTGGACCCCGTCCCTGAACTCTTCAGCTCAAGGCTAGTGCTCTACCTCTTGAGCCACAGCACCACTTCTGGTTTTCTGCTGGTTTGTTGGTGATAGGAGTCTCAGGGATGTTCCTACCTAGGTTGGCTTTGAACCAAGATCCTCAGATCTCAGCTTCCTGAGCAGCTAGGATGACAGGCGGGAGCCGCTGGCACCCGGCAAGAGCTGTCCTCTTGTGAGCCGACCTCGTGGCCATCATCCCCAGTTCGTGGTGTGCAGACTTCTTAGCTTTCTTCTCTGTCTTCCATTTGCAGGTGCTCCAATGAACCCCCTGGGGAATGGCGGCGATGAGGCCACGGGGGAGAAAGCCACGGCCAAGCGGCCTCGCGGGGAGGACACGCACGTGTGCGAGAAGTGCTGCGCTGAGTTCTTCAGCCTCCCTGAGTTCTTGGACCATAAGAAAACTTGCACTAAGAACCCTCCTGTCCTCATCATGCACGACGGGGAGGGAGCAGTGCCCCCGGACGAGTTCTCCCGCACCGTCCTGAGCCACCAGCCCCCCAGCCCTAGCCACAAGGAGGGCCCCAGGGAGGGTGAGGGGAAGGACCGGCCGGGCACTGAGCCCATCCTGTACTTGAAGACTGAGACTGCCCTGCCCCCGCCCCAGGACATAAGCTATTTACCCAAAGTCAAGGCAGGGCCGGCCAATGTGGCCCTGCAGGCCCTGCGGGGCACCAAGATGGCCATGAACCCACGGAGCCCCGACGTGCCCCCCGCCCCCGGGCCGGGCCCCCACAGCATCCCCTGGGTGCTGGAGCAGATTCTGCGGCTGCAGCAGCAGCAGCTGCAGCAGATCCAGCTGACCGAGCAGATCCGCATCCAGGTGAACATGTGGGCGGCGCATGCCCTGCACTCGGGCGTGGCGGGCTCCTCCGATGCCCTCAAAACCCTGGGCGCCCACGTGTCCCAGCAGGTGTCGGCCGCCGTGGCCTTGCTCAGCCAGAAAGCCGGGAACCAAAGTCTCTCTCTGGATGCCTTGAAGCCTGCCAAGCTACCTCATGCCAACGTGCCCGCTGCCACCGCTGCCAGCCCCCTGTCCCCTGGGCTCACCCCCTTCGCCCTGAAGGCCGACGGGACCCGAGTGCTCCCCAGTGTCGTGTCCCGGCTCCCCAGTGCTTTGCTACCTCAGGCCTCTGGCTCTGTGCTCTTACAGAGCCCTTTCTCCACGGTGGGGCTGGACCCAGCCAAGAAAGGGAAAGGAAAGCCTCCCAGCATGGCCGCCGCCGCCGCCGCGGACTCCAAACCCAAAGCCGACGCCCCGCTCTACAAACACAAGTGTAAGTACTGTAGCAAAGTGTTCGGGACCGATAGCTCCTTGCAGATCCATCTGCGCTCCCATACCGGAGAGAGACCCTTCGTGTGCTCTGTCTGTGGCCACCGCTTCACCACCAAGGGCAACCTCAAGGTCCACTTCCACCGGCACCCCCAGGTGAAGGCCAACCCCCAGCTCTTTGCCGAATTCCAGGACAAAGGGGCGCCCGGGCCGGGCCTCCCCTACGCCCCCCCCACCCCCGCCCCTGTAGACGAATCGAGCCTCTCTCTAGACAGCAAACCCGTCCTGGTAGCAGGCACCCCCTCGGTAGGGCCACCTCTAAACCTCTGCTCAGGGACCAGCCCCAAGGACCCGGCGGGCGGCCCCCCGCCCCCCGACCCGCAGCCCGGGCTGCCTCCAGAGAGCGCGAGCGGCGTAGCCTTCACCGGGATGAGGCCCAACCATACGGCCCCCAGGGTGGGTGGCTTTCAGGGGAGTGGGGCCCCCGAGGCGGGGTCCGAGACCCTGAAGCTGCAGCAGCTGGTAGAAAACATCGACAAGACCACCAGCGACCCCAACGAGTGCGTGATCTGCCACCGCGTGCTGAGCTGCCAGAGCTCGCTCAAGATGCACTACCGCACGCACACGGGCGAGCGGCCCTTCCGCTGCCGCGTGTGCGGCCGCGCCTTCTCCACCAAGGGCAACCTGAAGACGCACCTGGGCGTGCACCGCGCCAACACGGCCTTCAAGACGCAGCACTCGTGCCCCATCTGCCAGAAGAAGTTCACCAACGCCGTCATGCTGCAGCACCACATCCGCATGCACATGGGCGGCCAGATCCCCAACACGCCGCTGCCCGACAGCCCCCGCGGCTTCTCGCCCGAGCCCACGGCCGCTGCCTGCCGCCAGGACGCCATGGAGAGCTTCGAGGTCGAGGAGGGAGGCGGCCCCTCCCAGGTCCCGGCTGCGCCTCTGCCCCACCTGCCGTCCCCCCCTCGGGGGTTCTCCGTGGTGCCCGCCGCAGAGGCCCCCGGGAAAGCGGGGCCCGGCCCCTTGAGCCTGCAGCGCCAGAGCAGCCGGGAAAACGGCTCTGTGGAGAGCGATGGGCTGACCAACGACTCGGCCTCACTCCTGGGTGACCAGGAGTATCAGAGCCGGAGCCCCGACGCTGTGGAAGCCTTGTCCTTCCTGGCCGTGTCCCCCGCCACTAGCCAGGCAGAGAGCATCCCGTCCCGATCTCCCGAAGGGGGCAAGGCTGAGAGCTCGGAAAGCAGCCGCAATGACACGGAAGGTGATGGAGCTTTGGATTTCACTTCTGTCCCTTGTGGGCTCCAGGCCATCCAAAGAAACCCGGGTCGCACCACCCAAGTGGAGCGTGAGCCGAGCTACTCCTGGGGGGCCGATTAGCTGTCCTGTGCTTTCCGGGTGGTGGGGCAGAGTGACTCCCCCCTCTCCCCGAAATGAACACGCTCCTTCTCTCTCTGTCGTGGCTAATGCAGACTGGGGAGGGCAGCACGTGTTTGGTCTGTTTGTGTTTTTGGGGTAACACTGTACCGCTGAATCGGAGGGAGGGAGGGAGGGAAGTAGCATCTGCACACGCACCAAAGAGCACTTTTGAGACTGCCCTGGGGTCTGAACTCAGCCCATCAGCCATGCTGGGCCATGCTTCTAGTGCTTTTTTGTTTTTGCACTGGTTGGTTTTCAGGTCGTACTTCCTGCTGGAGTACGCACCTTGGCCAAGATCTTTTTTTTTCTTCTTCCCTGTAGCTGGAATGGCTGGCCTGCACTACCCCATCCATCTACTTACATTGAGATGGTGTCTCAGCTTTTCACCTAGCGAGTAATGACAGGCTTGTGCCCTGTTACTGGTTGAGAGGATGTGTGTGGCAGGTGTGTGTGTGTGTGTGTGTGTGTGTGTGTGTCTTGTTTTGGGCTAGCCTCAAACTGCAGTCCTCCCAGCCTCAGCCTCCTAAGTAAGGATTACAGGAATGAGTCCCCAGTGTCCCAGTTAAAGGTAGGTAGCAACTTAGGCGGAAATGTGACAGTTACCTGTATCTAAGTGTTGTTGTATCTAAGTGTTGTTGTTTTTTTCTTTTTATCTCTGTATATGTGCCAGCACAGTCATGAGGCTTGAACTCTGGGCCTAGGCTCTGTCTCTGAGCTTTTGTGCTCAAGGCTAGCACTCTGCCACTTGAGCCACAGCACCACTTCTGGCTTTTTGGTGGTTCATTGGAGATGAAATCTCAGGCTTTCCTGCCTGGGCTGGCTTTGAGCTGTGATCCTCACATCTCAGCTTCCTGAGTAGCTAGGATGACAGGCTTGGACTCACCATAACTAGCTTCTAAGTGGTTCAGTCTTATTCTTGAATGACAAGCTGCTTTTTTTTTTTTTTTTTGCTTATGTGGTGCTGAGGAATCGAACCCAGGGCCTCTGGCATGCAAGGCAAGCGCTCTACCACTGAGCCAACTTCCCAGCCCCGACAAGCTGCTTTTGAGGTGCAAATTTTCTGTCCAGAGAGGTTGTGCAGTGTAGTAAAGGTTTGGCTTTTCTTTTCTTTCTTCTCTGCACAGTGGGTGGAACCAGACTCCCCCCCACATTTATCCGAGCGCAGCCCACCTACGTCAAAGTCGAAGTTCCTGGAACCTTCGTGGGCCCCTCCACCGCGTCCCCAGGAGTCACACCCCTGCTCTCCTCCCAGCCTCGCCGCCAGGCCAAGCAACACGGCTGCACACGCTGCGGGAAGAACTTCTCATCGGCCAGCGCCCTGCAGATCCACGAGCGGACACACACGGGCGAGAAGCCATTTGTGTGCAACATCTGCGGGCGAGCCTTCACCACCAAAGGCAACCTGAAGGTGGGCCTCAGGTTTGGGCAGGGTGGGACTGGGCCTTTTTTTTGTCCATCGTGGGGCTTGAACTCTGGGTCTGGGTGCTGTACCTCAGCTCAAGGCGAGCGCTCTGCCACTTGAGCCACAGCACCACTTCCGGTTTTCTGGTAGCTCATTGGAGACAAGAGTTTCCTAGACTTTCCTGCTCAGGCTGGCTTTAAACCATGATCCTCAGATCTCAGCCTCCTGAATAGCAAGGATTACAGGCGTGAATCACTGGTGCCCTGCTGGCATGCATCTCTTTATGTGTGAGCCATGAGAGCCATGATTGCCCAGACTGGCTTCCAACCCCAACCTTGGGAGCTCAGCCTTCTGAACAACTAGGATTATTAGGTGTAAGCCAGTGGTGTATGTAGTATCAGATCTGAACTCCTAATTTCTTTCCTTCCTTCTTTCCTTCCTTCCCTCTCTTCCCTTCCCTTCCCTTCTTTCTTTCCTTCCTTCCTTCCTTCCTTCCCTCTTTTGTCTCTGTCCTGGGCCTTGAACTCAGGACTTGGCACTGTCCAGAGGTTTTTTGTCCTTAAGGCAAGCGCTCTACGTCACCAAGTCTGATTTCTGAATCTAGAAAGCATGTTAAGGTATTTTGGGGTGACGTACACCCCACGTGGCTGACTTGATTGGGTCCGGCCAGTGTTGGGGAGCCCCTGTCTGATGTTAGCACTCCCCCGCCCAATCTTATCACTTTCCCAGGTCCACTACATGACCCACGGGGCGAGTAACAACGCTGCCCGCCGTGGGCGGAAGCTGGCCATCGAGAACACCATGGTGCTGCTGGGCGCTGATGGGAAGAGGGTTTCCGACACGTTTCCCAAGGAAATCCTGGCCCCCTCGGTCAGCGTGGACCCTGTGGCGTGGAACCAGTATACCAGCGTGCTCAACGGTGGGCTGGCCGCGAAGGCCAATGAGATCTCGGTCATCCAGAGCGGCGGCATCTCGGCCCTGCCCGTGGGTCTGGGCGCGGGCCCTGGGAACAGCGCCCCCACGGCCAAGGCGGAGGGTGTGCAGGCCGGGGGCGGCGCCGAGGTGGAGAAGCCAGGCGTCCCCGACGGTGTGGTCAGAGCCCAGTTCCCTCATTTCCTGGAGGAGAACGAGATCGCCGTCAGCTGAGCCAGAGCGCCCAGCCCGGCCGGCCAGCCGCTCCCCCCTCTCCTCCTGCGTTTCCTTTCCTCTTCCCAGCAAAGCGTTTACTGTTTTGACCCCAAGCCGTGGGCAGTCTTACAGTCAACCCTGTTAGTAGAGAAGGAACCCCCACTACCCCCTGAAAATGGAAAAACAACAACAACAAAAATGATACCCAAATACACAGACCTACAATATATATATATTTCTTACTTTTGGAAGGAAGCGGGTCTTGCAAGGTAGCCTTGTTACTTGTAACGAACTGGATACTCGGAAGTTTCCTGCCACTTGGAGTGAGTGACAGCCTCCACGTTCTGCCACGTGTGTCAAGGTGGCGCCTGGAGTTTCTTTCCCCAATCACAGCAGAAGAGAACTGAGAGAGGGTACTGAGTGCTTCCAATGGGGGCTAGGCGGGTACTGGACTTGGTTTCTCTCGTACGAGTGATCTGTTTTATGTCCTCTGCCCATCCCTGTACACACCTTTGGTTTTGTTCTTTGGTGTTGGTATTTGGGGCTTGAACTCAGGGCCTGGGTGCTGTCCCTCAGCTTTTTCACTCAAGGCTGGTGCTCTACTACTTGAGCCACATCTCTACTTTTTCGCCCAGGGGAGGGAGGGTGGTTCATTGGAGACTAGAGTCTCATAGACATTTCTGCCTAGCCTGGCTTTGAACTGTGATCCTCAGATCTCAGCTTCCTGAGTAGCTAGGATGACAGGCGTGAGCTACTAGTGCCTGTTTGTTTTTGCTTTTTGAATGTACTTTAAAAAAAAGAAAAAGAAGAAAAAAAAAAAACCCCAGAAAGCTAAGGTTGTGGAACGAGAGCTGCTTCAGCTGTAGCCCACTGTGGTGCTCTCCCGAACTCCTTCCAGTCCCTAGGGAGCTGATGTGTGCATTGCTGCTTATTTAAGTACGGTCCGTGTGGAGCCCCAAGAGTGCCTGCTGTTCCCCACAATCCCCAGCAGCCTTGTCTCGCCAGCCAGCAGAGCAGGGAAGCCGCTATGTCCCCAGCTCAGCCTGGTTCTATAGAGCCTGTTCTGTTGGATCCTGGACTTTTCTCCTGGAGAAGACCTGGAGAGGCATGTTCCCCATCCCAGAGGCTCACATGCCACTGTTGTTTCCTTGGTGTAACTTAAGCCAAGTAATTCATGAAGTTTGCCCCCTTCTCCCCCCCCTCCCAGTCCTGAGAATTGTGTGAAGAGGCTGCAAAATTGGACCAGGCCAAGTCCTGGGTATAATAGCTTTAATTTATCTACCTCATTTTTAAAACTTTTTTTTTTTTTTTTTGTAGCTGCAAGTCTCTTACTTTCCTCTTCAATGGCCAATGAAGTCTTCCCGGGCTTTATCTGAAAAGCTCAGAGTTGATTGTATGGGTGGGAACAGTTAAGACCTTTGTGAAATCTTTGATTGCTGTATTATTATTGTCCTCCTTTGTACACAGGACAATATTGGACTGGACGGATAGAAGGGAGGTTGGCCTAATGGTTTTATGAGCATGAAGGACCCAGCCTGGGGGTGTGGGTGGGGGGAGTCTTCCTCCATTGTGTCGAATTTTCCCCCCATATTGGAATGAGGACAAAGATTGCACCCCAGGTTTTGTCTCTTCCATACTGCACCTGACTTTAGGATCCCAAAAGATTGTTTCTTGCCACGTCGTGCCTTTCCTTCTAGAATTGTCAGTGTTTGTAATACTGGGGCTCACCTGTTTACCTTGAGCGTCGTTCTAGGGGACCAGCACCCTGAGGTGCTCCTCACTGCCCAACCCAGCTGAACACGCCTGCCAATGAATGTGGGGCCGAGGAAGGTCCCTGGGGTTTGTACCTGCTGATGCTGTTGGAAAATAAAATTTGAATGTCTTCCCCTCCACCCCCAACTCTGTGTATTGGACTTTTTTTCTTTTTTTCTGGAATATTCTGCATGGATCATGACCTTCTGGTCCTACCTTTACCTTTCCAACACTTGCGTCTCAGGCATACAGGGTACTCTTTTTTTTTGTCGGTCGTGGGGCTTGAACTCTGGGCCTGGGCGCTGTCCCTCAGCTCTTCAGCTCAAGGCGAGTGCTCTACCACTTGAGCACAGCGCCACTTCCAGTTTTCTGGTGGTTTATTGGAGATAGGAGTCTCACTGTCTCTCCTGCCCGGGCTGGCTTTGAACCGCGATCCTCAGATCTCAGCCTCCTGAGTAGCTAGGATTACAGGCATGAGCCACCAGCACCCGGCCATACAGGGTACTCTTGTCTGACATCCTTTAGTTTGCAATGCAGAAAGCTCCTTGGAATGGCAGGATTCTAGAAAACTTGCTGGTATTCACATAGGGCTGTTGAGTTCCTAACCTAGTCTCACCTGATAGGGGTCGTGGGTGGAAGCCATGTTTGTATCTCACCATTTTGTCTTGGTAGATGAGGCCTGGGAGCCTGTGATTTGCTGTTTTGTTTTTAAAAACAGGATTGTCAGAAGCCAGCCTCTGTCCCCAGGGAAAGGGCTGGGGGCCAAATTGTCACAGCAGACAATGAGCTCATTTCCTATTAACCAGCAAAACGCTGGGAAGAGGTGCAGCTCAAATGGTAGAGTGCTAGCCTTGAGCAGAAAAGGCCAAGAGAAGACTTCAGGCTCGGAGTTTAAGCCTCAGTAGTGTCTCTCCCTCACCCTGTCCCCCAGGAGGATTAGTTCAACTAGGCCAAAAGGAAAAACAAATTTTTTTCTGTCCAGTAAAATTGGCTTTCAATTACTGAGAACTTGCAAATGTGTTTAAAGGATGCCTCAGGTTGAGACAAAGTGCCGAGCGCCTAGCACCTATGAGGTCCTGGGTAAACCACAGCGCAGAATGAACAAGGCCCCCCAAAATTTGCTCTGTGTGTGTGTGCGCATGCACATGTGCATGCGCTGGTCCTGGTGCTTGAATTCAGGGCCTGGTTTCTGTTCTTGTGCTTTTCTGCTGAAGGCTAGTGTTGCACCACTTGAGCCATTGCTCCACTTCTGGCATTTTTGGTATTGAATTGGACATTGGACACCCTGGCTGGCTTTGAACTACAATCCTTGGATTTCAGCTTCCTGAATAGCCCAGCTCTGCTTTTTTTCTTTTGTGTTAAGTCTGGGTCTTGGGTAGCCCTTGCTGGGATTATAGATTTGCATCACCACACCCAGCCTTCCTTTTTTCTTTTAAGGGTTAACTGTATTCTGATGGCTTCTTGATTGTCCTGGTGAGAGAATTATTCTCCCTGAGTTTCTTCCTCTTCATTTGCTGGTGTTTTGCACAATACGCAAGAAAAAAAACTTCAGTAGAATTTAAGGTTGCTAACTTTTGAAATTTTACTCTTCCATGATTGTTTTTTTTCAGTTTGAACTCAGGGCCTTGTTTGCCTGGCACCCGCCACTTGAGCCACACCTCCGCACCTGGCTTTTTGTGAGGTTCTTTTGGAGATGGACTCTAGCAGCAAACTTTTCTGCCCAGACTGCCTTCAATCCTCAATTCTTACATTTGCAGCCTCCTGCTAGGATTACTGGTGTGAGCCACTGATGCCCGATCTTAAAGTGTACTTGTGGGCAGCTTGCCTGGCACTACGGAAAACAAAAACCTTTGTTTTCTGTGTTGTGAGCAATACATTCTCAAAGAAAATCATGAGTCCTCACAGAAGGTAACATGCCAGGGGCTGGAATGTGGCTCAGTGGTGGTAGTGTCTAGCATGCATGAAGCCCTGGGGCCCGTCCCTCAGTACCACATAAACAAATGGCATTATGGCACAAGTGGTAGAGTGCTAGCTTTGAGCAAAAGCAGCTCAGGTACAGGCCCTGAATGCAAGCCCCAGGAAAGACTCAAAAAACAAATTTTACTGAAGACGTTTTTGGGAGTGGTCAGCTAGCTCAGTACAAGCCCCACACTTCCTCCTGTTCCTCCAAAGGAAACTAAAAAAGCTTCCAAGTTGCTGGCCCTCTGGAGTGTGGCATGAATTTGCAGCCGCCAAAAGGGGAAAAATGTGGCTAATATCCACCGGCTAAACCATGTGCATCACTATCAATTTCCCACAATGTGTAATTGCGTAGTGGCTCAAAGATAATGGAGGTCATGGCGCCTAGGAGGATGATATGGAGGGCCTGAAGTCTTCGCAAGGTCTTTGTTTTCCTTTAGGTCATTCTGCCAAGGTAGTCAGTGTACGATTTGGGCCACGCCCCCAGCCCTTGGGCCACGCCCCCGCTCTCTCAAGGTCTTTGATTACCCTCACTAGAATGTGGCCTTGGATTGTCTCCTTTCCCTGAATGGCTCCCTTGCCAGGAATGCTGTAAGGCCTCAGTGCAGACTACTGAGATTCTTACTGTCCCCTCCATGTTCCAGTGGCTCACACCTGTAATCCTAACTGCTCGGGAGGCTGAGGATTGCAGTTTGAAGCCAGCCCTGGCAGGAAAGTCTGTAAGACTCTAGTTAACCACCAGGAAATCAGAAGTGGAGTCGAGGCTCAAAGTGGAAGAGCACTAGCCTCAGGCAAAAGAGCTCAGGGACAGCACCAAGGCAGCCCCACGGCAGAAAAAAAAGTTCAAAGCCAGCCTGGGAAGAAATAGAGCTGTGGCTCGAGGGGTGGAGTGTCAGCCTTGAGCCCCAAAGCTCTGGGACAGTGCCTGGGCTCTGAGTTCAAGCCCATGAACGGCACAAAACCAAAAATAGGTGGACCGTGGTTAAGGTTTTTTGTTGTTTGTAGGGCTTGAACTCAGCCTAGGCACTGTTCCTGAGCTCAAGGCCAACGCTCTACCACTTGAGCCACAGCGCCACTTCAGTTTTCTGGTGGTTTACTGGAGATAAGAGTCTCGTGGACTTTCCTGCCTGGGCTTGCTTTGCACTGTGATCCTCAGATCTCGGCCACCTGAGTAGCTAGGATTACAGGCGTGAGCCACCAGCCCGGCCCTGGTTAATGTTTTGGACTCACCATTTCCTTGGTCTTGGCTGTTGGGTAGGTTTAGGAGGCCTAGAGGAGAGGAATGGCCTAGGGCCTGAAGCTAACCCAGAAGGGTGGGGTGTGATAGGACCTTGCACTTGGAAGCTTGTGTGTGTGTGTGTGTATGTGTGTGTGTGATGCACATGGGGGTGGTGTGGAGAGGGTGTGTGGAGGGAGGAAGGAGGTGTCGTGGGGACATGCACCCGGAGGCTGCAGGGGGAGGATGGGTCCTCTGCTGGCGTCCATGTGTTTCTCACAGTGTGCTTTTTGGGTTCCGATTCCTGCTACGTGTGGAGTGTCATTCTATGCATTTGAGTATTTAATATGGTGCTGGTTGGTGAGGCCAAGCCTTGCACACCTAGGCAAGCTTTGACCACTGAGTCATGCGGGTCTGCAGTGGTGTAGGAGAGGGAGCAGGAAGGAAAGGCGGGCGGGCCAGGTCAGCTGGCTGAAAAGCGCCCTTTCCTCCCCAGAGGTGTGAAGTCTGCCTGTCCTTGAGGAATTTCTCCAGGTAGCAAGATGAGTCAGAGTTCTGGATCCTCCTAGCTCCTCCCAGATCCAATGCGGGGTGACGGGGCACCCTAACCACCAGGAAACACTGTCGCCTGTAGCTCTGTTTCCCCTGCCAGTACATTAGTTTATAGGGCATACTATTTTGAGGTTTTCTAGTTGTAACTTCTGAGCCTCCTGAGTGCTGGGACTACAGGTGTTTGCTACCAGGCCCAGCTCTTCCACATTGATTTAATCATTAGCTTTCCTCTCTCTACCTCCCTCTCCTTCCTTCCCTCTTCTGACCTCAAAACTTTCCCGCGGGTGTTTGGGGAGCCTGTGGTTGCAGAAGCAGTGTGCAGAGCCAGGTGTGTGTAATGACTTCCAGTCTCAGGACTGAGTGGGGACACACACATGCGAGCCCCGAGGGTGGCCCGGGGCTGGGGTGTGAGAATGAAGGTCTACACGTGGGAGGGGCCCTCCGGTGAGTTCTGGGGTGCACTTGGCTGTGCACCCAGGAATCCAGGTGGGAGGTGAGAGGCCACGGGAGGAGGGCACAGGTGTGGGGTTCAGGATGGGTAGGTGGGGGTGGCTGTAGGGGAGGGGTCCGGCGGGTGATTGGATCTGGGGTGTCGGGGTGCGTGCTGGGAGACTTGTGAGCTCGGCCAGGTGCGCGCGTCGGGGTGACCGCGGGGTGCGGGGGGCGGAGACGGGGGCGTGCTGCGGCGGGGCGTGCGCGCGCACGGCGGGCGGGGGGCGCGTGGCCGGGTGGGCGCGCGTGGGGGGCGCGCGGCGCGGACCCGGAACCAGGACTCTGCGGCGGCGGCGGCAGCGGGGCGGACGCGGCCCTGCCGCCCCCGGGAGCAGGCGCGGCGCGGCGCGGACCCGGGGCCCATGGTGCGCCCGTGTCCGTCGGTCGGGCCGCGCGGGCGGCTCCGCGCGTGGCCCGGAGCTCGCGACCTCGCCCCTTCGCTGCGGGCCCGGCCCGCCCGCTGCCGCCGCCTCCTCCCCCGGGGCGGCGCGGGGCCGACGGGCGGCGGCGGCGCGGAGGCCGGACCGGGCGGCGGCCCGGGCGGCGCGGGGGGCGCGGCGGCCAAGGCGGGCGGCGCCGCCGACATGACGGACAACATCCCGCTGCAGCCGGTGCGCCAGAAGAAGCGGATGGACGGCCGGCCTCGCGCGGGGTGAGTGGGCCCGGCCGGCCCGGCCCTGGCCCTGGCCCTGCGCGCAGCCCGGCCGAGCGGCTGCGCCGAGCCCGAGGCCGCGCGCGCGGGCGGGCGGGGAGGTGGGGAGGCGGCGCCGCCGGCCGGGCTGAGGCTTCGGTCCTCCGGATCGCGGGCCGGGCCCCGATCCCGGCCGCCGGAGGCCTGGCGCCCCGGGAAGCCCGGCCGCGCCGGCTGTTGACCCGCGCGGGGAGGGAGGGTCGGCCGAGCCCGCCACCGTGTACGGCGGGGATCTCGCTCGGAGGCCCGGGGCCGGGGCTCCGCGCGCGGCGTCCCGGGGGGCTGGGGGAGGAGGGCTCGGGCCGGGCCTCCAGCGGCGCTCGGGGCCGCAGCCGCGGGGGCGCCACCTGCGGGACGCAGCCCGGGTGGAACCGGACTGGTGGCGGCGGGAGGGGCGTCCGCCGGCTGGCCGGTGACTGCAGGGGTGACACCGCCCCCCCTCCGTCCTCGGTCCCCCGCCCCGGCGGGGTCTCCTCAGGGAGGGTCCGGGTTCGGAGGGGGTTTTTCGGGGCTGTGGCGTCGCCGGGGACCGGTGTACCGGGAGGGGAGGGGGGGCGGGGGAGGTGAAGACGCCGAGGTCCGGGCCCGCCCGCGCCTGTCAATCAATCAGCGGCCCGGGCGGGGCCGGACCCCGCGCAGGTGGGCGCGCGTCCGGGCTGCGCGGCCGCGGGGCGGGGCCTCGGCTGGGCGGCGACGTCACCGGCTCGAGAGCCGACGCCGGGCGGGGCGCGGGGCCCGGAGCGGCCGCCCGAGGCGCCAGTGGGCTGGGCGGACTCCGCTGCCATCTTGTGGGCTCTTTGTCTCCGCACCCCCAGACCCCCGGGTCCTAAGGCCCTGGCTCCGGGGCCGGGAAGGACGGCGGCGGCGCGGAGAGGAGCCCCGGCCCCGGGCCGCCACCCCCTCCTCCTTCCTCCCCGCTCCCCTCCGCGCCGCTGGGGAGCCCGGGCCCCGGCACCCCGACCCCTGCGCTGTGGTGACAGCCCGCGCGCTCCGGGCTCGCAGTCCCCGGCGCGAACCCCGTCCTCGCTGTGGATCGTTGAGCAGAGGGGCCGGGACCGGGGCCGGGGCGGCGGCGGCCTGGCCGGCCTGGGTCTGTGCCCTGGACCGCGACGAGCCGTCTACTAAATGCTGGGCCCGGGGGCTTGCACGGACGAGGGGCACCTGACAGGTGCGCGTGCCCGGGCCTGGCTGTGCGCTCGCCACACTCCAGACCTGGAAGGGGTGTGCGCGTGCGTGCGTGTGCATGCATGCATGCGTGCATGCGTGGTGCGCGCTGCATCCAACTGCTGATCAGAAATAACCCGAATAGTCCCTACCCGCGCACTGGGGCCTGGGCACACTGGGTCTGGTCGCCGTTCCTTAAACCGGGCGGCGGAGCAGCCTCGGGCTGGCGCGCCCACTGCGGAGAGGGTCCGGGCCCCATGTGTGGGTTCCGTGCCTGTAGCCCCCCTTTTATATAAAGGACTAGAACGTCCCATCTCCGTGTCTGCAGGGCGCTTGGAGCCAAACACGTGTAGATCTGAGGGTGGGCGGAATGCTTTGGTGAAGATCCCTGGGGATGATGATGATTGTGTTTTTGTCATGACTGGGGTTTGAACTGTGGCCTTGGGCTTGCTAGGTGCTCTACTATTTGAGCTACCCCCCCCCCCCCAGCCTCTTTTGGGGGCTGCCCCCTGTGAGTTTTCAGATGTGACCTCACTCTGTGCCAGGGCCGGGTGGCCTGCAGTCTGTCTGCGCAGTCTGTCTGCGTCCAGTGTAGCTGAATGCTCACGTTACTGTCCAGCTTTAAAAAAAAAAAATCTGGCTGGGATTGGTGACTCACACCTGTCATCCCAGCTGCTCAGGAGGCTGAGATCTGAGGATTGTGGTTCAAAGTCAGCCTGGCAGGAACGTCGGTGAAAGTCTTACCTCCAATAAACCACTCAGAAAAACAAGTGGCGCTGTGGCTCAAGTGGTAGAGTGCTAGCCTTGAGCTGAAGAGCTGAGGGTCAGCGCCCAGGCCCAGAGTTCAAGCCCCACGACTGACAAAAAAAAAAAAATCTATTAAGAAGGGGATCTTATGAACTTTTTGCCCAGGTTGATCTCTAACCCCAGTCCTTTAGATCTCAGCCTCCATAGTATCTAGATTTACAGCTGTGAGTCACTGTACTCAGCCTTGAGTGATTTTTTTTTTTTTTTGTTAGTCCTGGGCCTGGAACTCCATAAGCACTGTCTCTGAGCTCTTTTTTGCTCAAGGCTAGTACTCTACTACTTTAAGCCACAGTTCCACTTCTGGCTTTGTGGAGTTTAATCAGAGATAAGAGCCTCACTGACTTCCGTCCAGGCTTAATTTGAACCACAATCCTTAGATCGTAGCCTCCAGAGTAGCTAGGATTGTAGGTGTGAGCCAGCTCCCTGAGTGATTTTTAACCTAGTTATAGTTGAGAATCCCTCACTTGGCGCAAAAGAGAAAAATTCAAGCAGCTACTTATACAGAGTAATAATTAACATTACAGAAACACACTGTCCATACAGAGGCCCAGAGGAGGTGATACAGATTATTTTTTTTTGAGGAGGTGATACAGATGATTTATTTTTGGGCGGCTTGAATTCAGAGCCTTGGTGCTGTTCCTTATCTTTTTCCTCAAGGCTGGTGCTCTACCACTTTAATTCTTGCTTTTGGTGGGTAATTGAAGACTCTCACAGACTTCTGTGTGGGCTGGCTTTGAACCAAGATCCTCAGATCTCAGCCTCCTGAGTAGCACTGGTTAACAGTGTGAGCATCCTGCTTCATCTGTGAGCTACCCCCACACCTCAGTCTTGGGACTTAAAATCAGGGCCTGGTTGCTGTTCCTCAGCTCTTTTGCTCAAGGCTATCACTCTACCATTTTGAGCCACAGCGCCACTTCCAGTCTTCTGGTGGTTCATTAGAGATAAGACTCTCATGGACTTTCCTACCTGGACTGGCTTTCAACCACAATCCTCAGATCTCAGCCTCCTGAGTAGCTAGGATGACAGATAGGAGCCACTAGTGCCTGATGGTATTGATTTCTTTTGACTATAGGGATTTGAACTCAGGATTTCACACCTGCTAGGTAAGTTCAAGACCTCAGGTTTTTTTTGTTTTTTTTTTTTCACTCAAGGCTGGTGCTTTACCACTTGGGCCAAACCACCCAATCACTTGTGATTTCAGATGTAATATCTCCTTAGCCCGCTGGTGGAGGGGTTTGGTATGGTTTCCGTAGTCATGAGCACTTTCTGGGGGAAGTGCTGGGTTGGTTTTTATTTTGTGTGTGTTGTTAGGTTTTGTTTTGTGTTTGTTTTTGTTTGGTTATTCGTCAAGCCTCTGGCCACTTATTCTTCAGTGGATTAATGAGGAGCTTTGTTGCTAAATGGACAGGTTTGATTGCGTAGCTCTGAACTCATGGCTCCTCCCAACTGTCTTGTGTTTAGGGGCACCATTGGGGTCGGGGGTTGCCCAGGAGAAACACAGAAATACATCGCTTCCACCCCCACCCCATTCCCAGCAAACTCCTGTTTGCAGCACGAGGGGTCCTCTGTGATGAACCCACGCATGGCCCGGCGCCTTGCCTGATCAGTGTGAAAGTGCTCCCAGAATTGCTTTTGTGGTCGCAGGTGTGAGGGCATAGGCGTGTTCACAGGTAGGGAACGCATCTGCGGATCATGCAGGTGAACTGTAGACTGTGTGTGTGTTTGTATGGGTGTGGGATTTTATTTTGTACCGGTCCTGGGATTTGAACTCAGGGCCTGACCACCGTCCCTGAGGGTTTTTTGTTTGTTTTTGTTGGTTTGCTCAAGGCTAGCATTCTACTACTTAAGCCACAGCTCCACTTTCAGCTTTTTGGTGGTTCATTGGAGATGAGTCTCGTGAACTTTCTTGCCTAGGCTGTCTTCAAAGCATGATTCTCAGACCCCAGCCTCCTGAGTAGCTAGGATTATAAGTGTGAGCCACCAGCACCTGGCTGAGATGTGTGTGTGTGTGTGTGTTAACCTTTTCTTTCCGTGGTGAGGGCCGTCTCCGGTCTGCAGCGGACAGGGGTTCTAGGAGGAGGCGGTGCTGGTAGGCAGGCCACGGGTGCCACACCTCCCTGTGCACCCCGGGTGGTTAAAGGGCTCTTTGCCCTCTTGGAGAACAGCAGGATGGAGCCCTGGCTGTCAGCCATCAGGAAGTGCTGGCCAAGCCCTCTGCCAACTGCACAGCTGCCCTTGTGCCACCCGCTGCCAGCCACAGAGCCCTGTCCGGTGCCACCCGAAACCAGAC